TTTATAGAATTCTTATAGATATATCTATCCGCAAGAGAAGCTAGATAAAAAACTAGTAATAATATTTTAAGTAATACAGACACTATCTTGACTTTGTGATAGATATACTTTCTTCACACTACCTCAACACGCACCCTTATATATAGCTTAAAAAGCTATTAATAAAATTAGAAATAAATAAATACTTAAGAAGATTATAAATAGTCAGATTATTAAAATAAAATAGATTAAACAGATTAAACAGATTAAATAGATTAAATAGATTAAATAAATTAAATAAATTAAATAAATTAAATAAATAAATAAAATAGATAAAATATATTAGATCTGTATTATAATATTATAGCTTTTATAAAAAGTTTTATAAAAATTTTTATAAATTTTTTTATAAATATTTATTTTTTATTTTAATTTATTATATTTTAAATAATTATGTTTAAAAAAAAAAACTATTTTATAAGTCTGAGTAATAGATATAAATTTTTATTTATTAAATTTATTAAAATAAATAAAATACAGCAGATATCTTAGCTATATATTAAAATATAATAGATTATATTTATATAAAATTATATTTTAAAATAAAATAAATTATTTTTATAAAATTTTCTATTTTTATTTTTTATATTTATTATTTATAAAATAGTTTTAGAATTATAAGTTAATTATAATTATTTAATTTATTTTAAAGAATATTATTAAGTTTTCTTTTTTTATTTCTTAGATTTTTATAAATTATAATAATATCTAAATTAAGATAAGCTTCTTAAGTCAGATCTTTTCTTTTTCTTTAAATCTTAAGATTATATATATTATAAAGAATCAGAAGATTATCTTATATTTAGCATTTTAAAAAAAACTTTTTATTTTTTAGAATTAATAATATAAAATAATTTTTAGAAAGATGTATTATTTTTTAATAAAATCTTTTATATTTATTATATTATATATTTTTATATTTTATAATATTTAAAAATTAAAAACTTAAAAACTAGTTTTATAAGCTATTATCTTTATAAAAATTATAAAAAGAAATTATTATTAATTATATCTAAGTAAATAATTAATCAGATACTAAGTAAAGAATTATTATAGATATTTATTTATTTTTTAAAATAAATCTTTTTTAATTATTATCTTTTTTAGATTTTTATAATCTATAATAAATAGAATTAAGAGAATTTTTAGAATTAAGTTCTATATTTTATAATTATTTATTATCTACTATTTTAAATTATTAAATATATTTAATTTAAATAAATAATTAATCTTATTATTTTAATTTTTTATTAAAAATTAAGTTCTTCTAATTAAATATAAATTAAAAAATATTTTATAAAACTATTTAAAGAAATATATATATAATTATTATTAAAATTTCTAAATATTAAATAAATATTAATTATAATAGATTACTAAATTAGTTCTAATTAGAAAATAGTTTTTATTTTAATTAAATATTTCTTAATAAAAAATATAAATTATTATAAGATTTTACTAGATTTTTAATTAATATTTAAATCTTATATTAATAAAAATCTAGCTATAATTATTTTATTAATTTTATATAAATATAATCTTATTTATTAATTATTAAATATAATAACTAATAATATTAATAATAATAATATAATATTTAATATAATCTTAGCTAAATTTTAAACTTAATTTAATTAAAGTATTTAATTTTATAATATTCTAATTAATTCTAATTTTTTAAAAATTATTTAAAATTAGTATTATATTTTTTATTTTATTTATATAATTTAGTTTATAATTAATATTTTTCTGCAGAAACTTCAGATTAAGATCTTAAATAATATTATTAAATATATATAAAAAAAATAATAATAAAAGTTTTAAAATCTTTTTTAATATTTTAAGAATTCTTAAGAAAATATATTCTAGAAATTATTTATAAAAATTAATATAAATTTTTTTTATAAAGAATTTCTAGAAATTTTCTATTAATTAATTTATTATATTAATTCTTAATTATAAATTTAAAAGATTATATAATTTATAAATATAAATCTTTAATATTATAAAAAGTTCTAGTTTATTTAATAATTTAAATCTAGCTTAGTTTACTATTTTTTTCTTAATTATAAAATCTGCTAAAACTTAATCTATTTTATAATTTATTAAATATTCAATCTCTGTTAAGTAATTAAAAGTTTTATTTAATATTATAAATATAATAATATTAATTATCTTTATTTTATTATAATTAAATAAAAATAGATAAAATATCTTCTTAAATTTTTATATCTTTTTTTTATTTTCTATCTTTCTAAGAATAGTAGATCTACTATTTATAAAATTTATAAAATTTATAATAATCTTTTTAATTATCTAAATTACTTAATTAGTAAATTAATAAAAAAATAAATATTTAAAAAAAAAGATTCTTAAATATTTATATAATATATATTAAAAGCTCTGAAAATATTATTATTATATTTATTAAATAAAAAATTATATTTATATAATTATAACTATTCTGAATCTGATATTAAAGCTTAAAAAATTTAAAAAAAATATATAATTAAATAATAATATTAACTAATATTATAAATATTAAATTATTTTTAAAAAGATATTTTATTTTTATTATAATCAAAATCTAAGAATTAATATATTATTAATAATTTCTAAATTATTATTAGATTTAGATAAGATTTTTTATAATATTTTTAAATATTAGAGATTCTTATCTGCAGCTAAAATATATAAAAAATTTAAAATATATTTAAATATTAAAGATATATAATTTTTTAAGATATCTTTAATTAAATTAATATAATTTCAGATATTATAAAATATATTAATATTTTTATTTATTAAAAATCTTATTATAATTAACTTTTTACTTTTTATTAGATAGCTAGAGATTTTCTCTTAATTATAATTAATAATATTAATATTAAATATTTTTTTAATAATTCTTAAAATATTTCATATTATTATTAAAATTATTTTTATTCTAATATAATTAAAGTAGTTATATTTTAAATATATATTAATTACTTTATTATAAATAAGAAATATTAGAATATATTTAATAATCTTAATCTAGATTTAATTATTTTTATATTTAAGAAATAAAAATAAAATAAAATAATTATTATTTTTTATATTAATAAGAATAAGAATATAAATAATCTTAAAGATAATTTAGAGAATAGATTATTATTAAAATTAAAAAAACTAGTTTTATTTAAGTCTTTAATTATTATATATATTTAGATAAAGATAAAGATCTGATCTTTATAATTTTTATATTATTATAATTATTATTTTAAATAATATAAAAATAAATATTTTATATTTTTTTTTATTTTTTTATATTAGATTTTATAAAAGTCTTTTTTAAAGTATAATATATCTCTTAAGATAATTAATTAAATAGATTAAGTAATAGACTATATTTAAAAAATATTATTATATTATAATTAAATATATATTATACTTTATATATTATTTATATAAAAAAATATATATATTATAAATTAATCTATAATTATTAATTTATTTGCTATATCTAATTTTTCTGATTAGTAAATATAAATAATTAAAGTAATAATTATATCTTAATCTAATGTTAATTATATAATTAAAAATTTTTTATATCTTAATCTAATTATTAGATTATGGCCAGATTAAGGTTAAGATATAATAGTCAGGTTAAGCCACTCTACTTAAGATATTAAATAATATATTATAATAATATATTATTCTTAAATTTATAAAATAATATAATTATAAAGATATAGAAGAAAGATATTATATTGAAATATATAATATAATTATATATTATATAATCAATTATAATAAATTTAGAAATTATTAAATATAAAGTTTTTTAAAAATAATATAATTATTAAATATATTTATTATCTAAAGCTCTTTTTTATTAATTATCTTATTATAAATATTAATCTATATATTATTAATATATTTAATAAAAAGATTAAAATTCTATAATTCTTTTTCTAAATTATTTAATATCTGATTTAATAAGTATATAACTATTTATCTGAATTTATTCTGTTATTTATAATAATATTCAAAGTTTTAATAGATTATAATATATTAAAATTAATATATTATTTATAATTCAAAATAATAAATCTTTGTTAAATTTAGCAGACTTAGTTCTTATATAGATAATATTATTAAAAATAGTCTAGAGATTAACTATTATAATTAAAAATATTAATCTAAAAGAATATTTTTTCTAATATGTCTAATAATGTTTTTTTAAAAAAGAGAATAAATCAATCTTATTAAATATATTTATTTTACCTGTATTAAGAATATAAGATCTAGATTTAGTAAAGTAGATTATTTACATATTTATTCTAATTAAAATAATATCAATAATACTATTAACTAATTATCATAATTATAATATTTTATAATAGTGAAATTTTTTAAAGATATTATTCAATAACTCTAAAATAATAATTCCTGGACTTATAATCTGATAGAAATAATTATATAAAGTAATAGAAAAGAGTGAATTAATTCAGATAAGAGAAGTCAGGAATCACAGTGATCAAGTAGAAAGATACAGTCACATGGCCCCGGAGTGGCCACCACAAATATATATAACAGTAACAAATATCTATAATTATATAATAATCTTATATAACCAGGTTATATATTAAGTCATGTGCCAGACCCTCACATATAATACTAATAAACCAGTTTTTTATTTTTCATATATTATTAATTTTTTAAATTTGAATTTTAATCTTATAACAATTCATCAGTACTACAGTAGCTTGAATAAATATAATATAATAAAATAGTTAATTTTTAGAAGCAGAAAATATTAGACCGGCCACTTTGTTAGACTGGCCGGGTCGCCCTAGGGCGAGGTAAGCCGCGCAGTGGTCGTTTTGGCCTATATAACCCCGCATTCCCATTTTCAGAAACAACTGAGTAAACCCCCCGTATTCCCCAGGTATATCTGTGTACTTACAATCCGGCTCCATCTTTTCTCTTACCACCACAAACTGTTCTATAACGTCGATGGCTCTTCATCCGAAATTCATGGGCCAGAGGTTATCGCCCAATGCCCAGCAGCCCCAACATACACTTGAACTTTGTCTGTAAAGCGCTACCGTCAAATTAAGCGTCTGTTGGCTAACCTCTTGTATATCCAGACCTTGACTATGTCTGCCCCGTTGGTCTACCCTTTACAAATAGCGTCTTTATTGTACCAAAGGTTATCCACTAACAGGCTTACTCCTCCAGTTCTCTGCAAAGCTTTTCAACACATTTTACAAATCAGTGAGGCCTGTTATTGCGCAGAATTACCAATCAAATCTCCAGGTCATATTTCGCCAGCACATTCAGCCCTGGCACCCATCATCAACTTTGACGCATGAAGCCGGTGCAGCCGTTCTGAAGATAGCTCCAAGTAAATTCTGGGACTTCAGTGCAGCATTATTCAGTCAACAGAAAGAGTTTTTCGATGTCAGCGTTGTTAATGAGACACGTAATACGACATATGAGAGACTGGCAAGAATTGGCGCAACAGTTGGCGTGAACGAGGATGAGATGCTCAATGCATTGAGAATTAGCGAGGAAGCAAATAGCGAGGAGCATCTGAACGTTGGTAACAAGGTGACCAATGATATAAAACTCATGATCAAGGTGCGCCACTGTTTGAGCCTGGTTAAACTTGTTACATTAGATCACTTATGGAAATTTATCCGATACAGTCAGCTCGTGTTGTTGGGGTTCATGTCTCTCCAACTGTATATTTCAATGTGAGAGGCTGTATTATGACCCACAAGCAAATTGATGCACTGACTCCACTGCCTAGGGCGTTGAAGAACCAAAGATCAGCAGCAGCTTCACACCCACACAATGGGAGCAATGGTTGGCGACGAATGTGGCTTAGGCCGTCATGTTTAAAGGGGATTGTAGGACAACAGGCTGCGCGCGCGCCCTTTTTGGGGGGCGGGGGGGGTTCAAGTGGTGATGATAATTATCAAGCATTCATTCTGTGGTAGGAAAGGTTCGTTCTCATTTGAAAGTTCAACTTCCAGGAATAAGTATCTGGATGGATCTTAGTACCTTAGTACGCATGACTCCTCCATCTCTGGCTGTTTGCTGTTTTTCATCCATGCCATTGATTGTGGGTAGCAGGATCAGGCTTGATATTTGTGATTGTATTTGTGTCCGACTATTTACTGTGACACGGGAGGTTGGTAGTTCAAGGGCCGCCTGTGTATGTTGATCAGCATTGTATAGAGCAGCAAGAAAATCCCAACGCTTACTTGAATAGGAGGATATGCGGTTCTGGTTCATGCACTTCGTAATGTTCCCAACCCAAGCTCTGATCACCTGGGTTAGGCTATTTTGACTTGCGTGTCTGCTCATATGGGTTGATATATTACGTACCTGCGTAATGCCAAGGGCTCGCCACTCATCCTCCCAAAGCAGCTTCAATGTCCCCTTCGAGCTGTCAAAATAGTCGGCTGGAATCTTTTTGAGCATATTTTTAGGAAGCTGCACGTGGCGGTATTCATATTGGTCATCTGAGTATCTGAAGTTTATGATATCAGAGGAATCCGAAGTGAAGATTTATGCACCGTTTACCTGGCAGAATAATGGATAGAATCAATAAATTCCTCAAGCCTCTCCCGCTCCGATTCAAGCAAAGGGCGGGGCTTTTTATTCCGTCTACTTAGATCGATGTCCATCTGGAATAGCGGGGGTAGATAGCGGAGTTGAAAGGCCACTTTGTGGTCTTTATCTTGTCAGCAAAACTTGATTAATTAATGTATTACTGCGGAATCCGAGGATAGGATACGCTATGCTGAATTAAATGTAAAGCCGATACTCACAAGTAGATGAAGGACTTTGGTATGTCCACCAAGCAAAACAAGTGTACTCCGTAGTTGACTTTCAGTTCTCGGGTAACAAAAGATGTCCTCCTAATTTGGTAGAGCCTAGTAGGGTTTCTTGAAAATTGGTGGGGTAAGCGGCCCAAAGGAGTGAAATCAGAGCTGAAATGTACTGGGAAGTGAATGCACAGAGGTCGTTTTCCCTTGAAGGGGCCTGCAGCTGTTAGAATGCTAGTACTAGTGGAGCAGCTACCCGCTTTGCTGCCTGAGGCTATAACATCAAGTACGCCGTCACATTTTAGTACTTTGGAATTTCTATATATAAACTTGTACACCTGATCAATGTTTGCCTAGTGCCTAACCATCACTGGCAAAACATGCAAATTCAGTGACACCTATAATATACAACGGGACTGAGTATAATCAAGAGCTCATATAATGATAATCTCCTTTTTGTGAGCTGGAGGAAGATATACCTGGGGGGGGGGGAGTAATCGTGTAAAATCGACGCAAATCCAGATGGTTATAAATCTAATACTACCTATACTTGGTTATATATTCGATTCTCCATCGCTAGTAGGATTTATCTTCATGTGTTTGTTCTCTACCAGGGAGCTGGAGAATTATATATCTCTAAAGAAAGAAGAAGGAAAAGACCGTGTAGGTTTAAACAATTTGGTATTTTGTCAAATAACAGTAGCTGAGGAACATTCATTCTAGTCGCAACTCCGTCATGGATTTTGCTTACAGTGAAATTTATAATTGATATAAGGACATGTAACCACTGGCACATTCCTTATGCATGCTTTACCGCCTGTGGTTTGCTTTAAAACAATAAATTATTACTCAACCAGACTTTTGGCTTTTACAGAGACAAAAGATTTCTTGATTTCCCGCCATATTTAGGAATCCCGTATAGATCCAGCAGCACCATACTATATACTCAGAATAGTGTGATACAACATAAAAACAGTCTAACCAGAAAGAGGGGCGAATTGCTTACTAGCATGGAAACCTTCAAACTTTGATGTTCGAACCACCTATGAGAGTTACTCTGCTATAGTAATATTGGTAATATTCACGTGATTTTGTGTGATTATCTAAGGGGACCAGTAGCCAACCAGCTTTGGACTGTCTCCCGAGGGCGCGCCAAAAAAAGTACCCAGGATGAAAATTAGAGGGGGGAAGAGAAAATTGAAAAAGGGAAAGTGGGTTCTTTTTTTTCCATCCAAATTTTAACCCACTCCCACCCCGACGCCTGGGGCGAAATTTATTTAGTCTTCTCTTCCTCCAACTTCCGTCTCGCAACTTAGTTTTGTTCCAATTTTCCATTCCACCCCGTGAGAAACTTCTCCTTGTTAAAATGGCTGACGAAGTTTACGAAGGTGCCATTGGCATTGACCTTGGTAAGTTCCATTCCTGCTCCCCCTCGACTATTTCGACTGCGACTAAATTAAGTGTTAGGTACAACCTACTCCTGCGTTGCCAACTACGAGGGCACCAATGTCGAGATCAGTATGTACCTGGCTATGCGCTACATATAAAAGCCCAAGAACTCACAGGTCGCAGTTGCCAATGAACAGGGTAGCTACACCACCCCGTCCTTCGTTTCCTTCACCGACAAGGAACGCTTGATCGGTGAAGCGGCGAAGAACCAGGCTGCCATGAACCCTCAGAACACTATTTTTGATATCAAGTAAGTCGATTGGCGAAGTATTCAGACTTTTCTTAAGTTATAACGACCTAACCGAGTATAGGCGTCTTATCGGTCGGCGGTTTGAGGACCCCATCGTCAAGAAGGACGTTGAGTCGTGGCCGTTCAAGGTCGTCGACCAGGGTGGAAACCCTGTTGTGGAGGTCGAATACCTCGGTGAAACCAAGACTTTCAGCCCTCAAGAGATCTCATCCATGGTCCTGATGAAGGTAGCTCACCATGATTCATTGTTTTAATTTGCGTGGCGTTAACTGTGTCCGCTAGATGAAAGAAGTCGCCGAGACCAAGCTCGGAAAGAAGGTTGAGAAGGCTGTGATCACCGTGCCTGCTTACTTCAACGATAACCAGCGCCAGGCGACGAAGGATGCTGGTGCTATCGCCGGCCTAAATGTTCTCCGTATCATCAACGAGCCGACTGCTGCTGCGATCGCCTATGGTCTTGGCTCTGGTAAGTCGGACAAGGAACGCAATGTTCTGATCTACGATCTTGGAGGTGGTACTTTTGATGTTTCGCTCCTGAACATCCAGGGCGGTGTCTTCACTGTCAAGGCTACGGCTGGAGATACTCACCTTGGTGGACAAGATTTCGACACAAACCTTCTGGACCACTTCAAGAAGGAGTTTCAGCGTAAGACTGGCAAGGATCTTTCTGGCGATGCTAGAGCGCTTCGCCGTCTGAGAACTGCCTGTGAGCGTGCTAAGCGGACGTTGTCGAATGCTACCCAGACGACCGTTGAGATTGATTCCCTGTTCGATGGAGAGGACTTCAACTCCTCCGTCACCCGTGCCAGGTTTGAAGATCTCAATGCCAAGTCCTTTTCTGGCACCCTGGATCCGGTTCAGCAGGTCCTTAAGGACTCCGGTCTTGAGAAGAAGCAGGTCGATGAAATCGTGCTTGTCGGTGGTTCTACCCGTATTCCTCGTATCCAGAAGCTTCTCAGTGACTTCTTCGATGGCAAAAAGCTTGAAAAGGTACGTAATTTCGAGGTTGGCTGGAGTCGGTTTGGCTAATTGATATGAACAGAGTATCAACCCGGACGAAGCTGTTGCTTACGGTGCCGCTGTGCAGGCTGGCATTTTGTCTGGAAAAGCTACGTCGGCCGAAACCCAGGACCTTCTGCTGCTTGATGTTGTCCCGCTGTCTCTTGGTGTTGCCATGGAGGGCAACATCTTCGCTCCTGTCGTGGCCCGCGGTCAGACCGTTCCCACCATCAAGAAGCGCACTTTCACCACAGTCGTTGACAACCAGACGACGGTTCAGTTCCCCGTTTACCAGGGTGAGCGTACCAACTGCGCCGATAACACTTCCCTTGGAGAGTTCACTCTCGCCCCTATCCCTCCCATGAGGGCCGGCGAAGCCGCTCTTGAGGTTGTTTTCGAAGTCGATGTCAATGGTATCCTCAAGGTCACTGCGACTGAGAAGTCTTCGGGTCGTACGGCGAACATCACTATCTCTAATGCCGTTGGCAAGCTCTCTACCACTGAGATTGAGCAGATGATCGATGGTAGGTTTTCCTGTTTGGAGAAAATCACTCCCAGCTAATGTACTCTCCCAGATGCCGCCAAGTTCAAGACTAGTGACGAGGCCTTCACCAAGAAGTTTGAGTCTCGCCAGCAGCTTGAGTCTTACATCTCTCGTGTTGAGGAGATTGTCTCTGACCCCACCATGTCGATGAAGCTGAAGCGTGGAAACAAGGAGAAGATTGAATCCGCCCTCAGCGACGCTATGGCCCAGCTTGAGATCGAAGATTCCACCCCCGAAGATCTGAAGAAGAAGGAGCTTGCTCTTAAGAGACTGATTACCAAGGCCATGGCCACCCGGTAGATGACTTCCTCTTACCTATTACGATCTTCTGTGCGGCGCCATCAGACAGCGTAATGCTCACGTTCCCGCCCGCTCTTCTTCCTTTCCCGCTTCTCATCATATCTGGGCGGAGAGGCCACCTTGCTCGCTACATAAGAGATCGAAGACGAGAACCTAACGTTGTTTATGCGACCTTCCTTTCGGGTCAGGCGTATTTATTCATGACCGGGTACAAAAATTGTGAAAAGTAATTCATGGAATTTAGATGATGTTTTGGCAATTTAATGATCTTGATGAGCCAGCCATGTTCGTAATGTCTCCGTAAGAATGTGTACTATTCATCCCCCCCCCTTCTATCAGATTGGACTCGGCCCGCCGTAGCCAGCTTATTGAAATAATGAGCACTGCAAATTCGCGATTGAGCAATTCTCTTAATACTCAGACCCTTTGGCCTCTTCTACCTGCATGCCAAGTTAAGTACCACTACGACTTTTTCGCGCATACCCATCGAAATACTCCCCAGTAGTTCTGAAACGTATTCGCTCCGCAATCCTTTACCTCTGCGCAACCGACGAGTCCAGAATCAAACACAATATCCTTCATTCATCTCCCTTGCGGCTATCACCGCAAAATAAACATATACGATTTGTGACAACGATCAAGGATTCTCAATATGCGATACCGGCCTGTACTTACTTGTTTTCGTTCTCTCCTCTCTTTCGAGCGTCAAACCCTAGGCTGGTATCATCGGTATAGGCTAGCAACTTTCAACAGGAGTCGAGGTTTTTCCAACTCCACATTTCTATGCAAGAAGAAGGAACGAACAAAGGCGATACCCGTTACAGATTCCGGAAAATCATCGTCAAAAGCTGGACCAACCTCGGAAGATCCTTACGACCTTTCACAACTTCATAATGGCATTGCTGACGCTTTGTCCCGACTCAAAGACGATCTATCCAGGCTGCGTGTAGGGGGAAGGTTCAACACCGAACTGATCGAGAACCTTCGTGTGCAGCTTAGCAAAGGTAGCAAAGAGTTGCTAAAACTGCGAGATGTAGCCCAAGTTGTTCCTAAAGGTGGACGGATGGTAGCTGTTTTGGCCTCTGGAGAAGATGTAAGTTCTCAACATGCCTCGTCCGCTGTGCTTTTTACCCAATCTAACAAATACCGCAATGTGATGGTAGCATGTGAAAGCTATAACCTCGTCAATCATATCCTCAAATCTGTCTCTGACCCCACAACCCGACTGCCATAATGCACTTCAGCTCAACATCTCGATTCCGCCCCCAACAAAAGAATCCCGAGATCAGACCATTTCTATGTCAAAGACGGCAATGGAAAAAGCAGCTGGTGCTATCCGTGACTCCCGCGGTACTGTACACAGGCGTCTCCAGGACTTGCAAAAAAGAAAACTTGCTCGACCCGACGATGTTCGAAAAGCCCAAGAGCAGATGGAAAAACTTACAGAAAAAGGCCAAAGGGATGTGAAGGACCTGTTTGAGACTACAAAGAGGGCCATGGAAAGGGCACAGTGACGCAGCAGTTTCGCCAAGTTGCCTAGTATACCGCCAGACTACTCTTGGAATCTACTCGATATTAATAACATTACAATTCTTTGGTCCCTGGACCGGTCACTTGCCCATGCGCAGCCATTCAGCAGGCCAAGTAGGGGTCTGGAGGCCGAATAGTAAATCAAGAGAAAAGTAAAGGTACATGAGAGGACAGTACTGTACAATGATAGTAAACACAGCAGGTGCTCAGATACGCGTTGTACCACGACCCGAGGCTAGAAGGGAATCCAATTTCTCCATGAACGCAGAACTCTTGCCAGCCGTTTGATAAGTTGCATTGTTTCTCAGGTTTTCTGAGACCATTTCAACAACTGAAAGTTTAGCACCCCGCTCCGCAACCGACTTAGGATAATTGCCCTGAACAACCAGCCCCATAAGTACGTTCTGATCTTGTGTGCTGATCGGATTGAAGTTGATCGGGTTTGGATCGAGTAGATCGCCTTTGCGTTGAGACAACCGGTCGGCGCATTCTTGGGACAACTTGTTTGCCTCCATGATAGCCTCGGATTTTTCTTTTTCATTCATGAAACGAACGAATTTCCCTCGGAAAAGTCGTCTACCCAGCTCATTTGGGGGTACATATCCATTGGCAAAGCGGTCGCTGAATGACGACAACTTCTCAACCATTCCAGCGGTATGGGCGCCTACATCGGTGGGCAATGAAGGCCAGGTCTCCTTCAGAGATGCTAGAGAGACAGGTTCGGGTTCGTATCGAATGGGCTTAGGCCTCGTTTGCTCCGCAAGCTCGCGATACACATCATTGACTGCCGCCTCCTGCAGTAAATCGGCTGTCTCTGTAGCCGACTGTCCGGACCCACTGGAACTGCCTCTTTTTCGGTCTTTGGATGCAGTCGCCTTGGATTTCACACCAGGTATGCGAGCGCGCGCTGGTAGCCCACCCGGAGTGGGTCGAATCCTGGGGCCTCTTATAATATTTGTCGGTTTACCAGCAGCTCGGGACGCGGCCAGAGATCTTGCATCAATTATTCTCCGAGGACGAGGACGCTCAGTATTAGTATTTCTGGGGTTCAAGTTCGTTGATGGGAGATTGGGCTTTTGGGAGCCAGTATGAGAACGCGCAGCCAAAGCAGACCCTGAAAGAACAACCCTTCCATGTGTGTCTAAAAGAGTCAACTGTCAGTATTACGACAAGACAGAAGTGGTATTGGTTTGGACATTCAATGGGAAGTGAAACAGAAAGCCAAAAGAAGGGAGGGAAAGGAAATCCACATGGAGACAATCCCAAGGTAAATCTTACTAGGTTGGCGTGTGTTTACTGCCTGGAGTTGAGCGACTGAAAACTGGCGTACAAGAGACAAAGGGCCCTCGGCTAGTCTAGCACCATCGCGATGCAGAGGATGGGTCAAAAGTTGGAGCATTTTGGTTGTTGATGATTCAGTGTTCCAATTGAGGTAAGATTAAATTTGTCGATAACCTCCGCCAATGGCTGCAAAGTCACGTGTACAGCTTGGCACTTACAGAGTAGGTCTCAGGTTATTTTCGTACCAAGAAGGGTTACTAGTTATCGCACAATCCGCCCTCGCAACTGTCACCAGCACCTATATCTTTGAGTAAAGATGCTTCGCCGCAAGCCCACTGCTATAGCCATAACGGCTGAAGACCTTGCAGCCTTTGAAGAGTCACGGGCCCTGAAGCTTGTCAGGCATAACAATACCCACGCTCATGCCAACAATAGCAATCACGCCAGTCATGCCAACCTCGACCCTAGCGACGAATTGAAGCCCTTGCCAGGGGACAAGGCAAGAATTGTCCGCTCACGCGAAGAACGAATAGGCATAAGTCGGAGCACCTGACACAGCCCTTCGAACATCTGGATCTACATAGCCTTTTACTGGTCCCCTCTCCTACCCACCCTTTCATGATGTGGCAGCTGTCTTGGATATGGAGTCCAGTTATGAGGTTCTCGACCACAGTGCAAAGTCAACCTGCTCTTTCATTTCGATATACAGCTCTAGAAATGTTGAATGAACTTTCTAATACCTCTTGGCTTGTGATCAAATATACTTGTACTTGGTCTTTGATTGACCAGTAACCTAGCTTGACGCTTCAAGGTCCCCAACTATTTACTGCTACCGGTCTTCTTCAGTTACTGTCTACAGCTACAGTTGTGATGACGAGAATAATGGTTTATCTGGCCGATGACTGTGAATCTAGTTGTTAATCATCAACGCCCTTAATTTAAATGGATATGGTATTGAAAAACGAATCACAAAACATTCAAGATAGTGTTCTGCTGGATACAAGCATGGTTACTTGACGTAGTCACCCCACTTTGACATCAGCCACCTGTCACTTATTCAAATGGGGAATGTGTTACTTGCAAAGGTCAGACGACGATGACATGTTTGAGCCAATAATTTATACAACATATAAGAGATATCCCCGGGTGTTAATAAATCCAAGGGCATTTCCTACAGAAATAGAACTGTCACAAATAGGTGGAGGTCATAGAGGAAGACCAAGAAACTCATACCCGGAAATCTTTCACTGCGCATAGTTACGGTATGATAGAAGAACCACAGCATCATATTATTGGCCATTGCCCGATCATCGATGCACGTGCAAGAACGTTAACGCTGTCGCTTCAAATTACTTTCATCTCCCATGTCGACGGAATAGTTCCACCGTCGTTTTAGGCCATTCGGATCGTATACACTAGCAACACTTTGCTGCCAGTCGCGTGCGGTGAACACTACTTGTTGTCCGGTAAACTGTGGCACCGGTTGAGTGGGCGTCATTGAGGCGACTTTCGCTTGTGGTCCATATTGTACAGGGAAGTGTTCTGTCAAAGATGTTTGTGATGGTTGAGAAGGGTTGCTCAAGGTCATTGGCGGCGAATTCGTGCTCACGGTTGGCGGTCCAATCGAAAATGCCATATCCCATTGACTGGACAGACATGAGTGTCAGCGGTCATCCTTTCCACATTAACGATTTCTCATGTCCTTACTTGATGATGCGAGTAGGATCCCAGCTGTTCTCGTCAACCAACGGGGTGTTGATGGTCTGATTTGAAATGGAATGGGATGGTATCAATCCTAGGGGTTGAAGCTGAGAGGAATCGGACTTTGAGTCTTCAGTACCAGCTGATATTGGAGGGGTTGTTGAATAAGCTGTATAACCCACTCTACTTTGAACACCGGAGACTTGATTTAAAGAAGGCCCGTAATGTGAATCTAATGGCGGGCTTGGGTGGTATGGTTCGGAAGGACTCCCATAGGGGAATGTCGGCTTTAGTTCGAAAGGTCGACTGACATCGGCGGAAAATGCAAACCGCAAGGAATCGATTTGCGCCTGTAATTCCGGCATGGGCCAAGCCGAAGAGCATCTCTCGAGGATACGCATGTGTCTTGTAAAGTATTCGCGCGCATCGGTGTGGAAGTTCGGATCTGGGGACGTTATAGCAACCTATTATAGCGTTAGCTGATCACGAGAATGATGAACCATGTAATGGGTACTCACAAGATGCAACATTGTGCATGTCAGGACGGTGTAGATGGTGAAATTGATACCTCGCTGCATGAAAAGGAGGCCTGATAGTCCAAAGCGATTCAAAATGGCTTCCTGGAGCCTACACAAATATTTGGCAGAAGAGTAGCATAGTGCCATATGCATTTTCCAACCGCCTCCAGCTGCAAATGATTTGGATGCAATTAATTGCGGTCGGTGTAATAAAATAATTCCTAGATGACAATGCGAATGCATGTTTCCGACGAAATGTGATGCTATCCATGGTGGTGAACCGTCCGGAGGATAATTGACTTGCAGATCAGGGGGTAAACTTTGGAGCCAGTCGGTGAAGAGGGGGTTTTTTTCAACGAACTTGGGATTGGCCCCCCAATCTTTCTGCTTCTTTATCTTATGGTATATGTCGGCGATGATACGAATGTGGCGCGCATTTCGGACGAAGTATGCATACTGTCTAGACCGATCCAATTCAAACTGATCGAGGCCTCTAATATCCAAAACTGGACTCATATTTACCGTCTCGGGATCCACACCATAGTCCGAGCGACCTGCAACCATCAGCTAATGGAAATCTACAATTGGTATATGACGTACCCTGGGGTGCACCGATCATCACTTCAACGACTAGAAGGGCCTGCCAGACTCTGGTCTGTACCAAGCACTCTACTGGATTCAAGTCGCAAGGCCGGCCGTCCGCATGGATGTTATTATGTTCATGAATATCCAGGTCTTTCGCCATCGAGACAATAGTCTTGACGGTCTGCCAAGATCGATAGTAATAGCCCTTTTTGGGTCGTGATTCTCGAGCTTTCAATAGCAGAAGTAGTGCCTGTATTGTACTCAGGCGAGGCTCGTCCATGAAACTGGATTCATGCCCTGTGATGGATGAGTAAGTAACCACTATTAAACAAAATATACATCTGATTTGACGACAGCTGTCTTACTATTTGCTAACGCGAGCCACTGTGCTCCCTGAGCTGCATCATCAGATAACCTCCCTGTGCATGCGAAAAGTGCCTCAAGCAGGAGGGGAGAAATTGAGCAGCGTTCATGTTGCCATTGATAGTACAGGTGAGATCGATGGACGACGGGAACATAAGGATGTATATCGTCGAAATATAGTTTGAACAAGTTCATTACCTCATCATCAGACGGCATAAGCTCAGGCGGAATGCGTATGGTGGAGCCAGCTCCAGTGCTGAGAGGTGGCAACTTTTCATCTACTTCATCTTGTGTTGGAATCGCCGGTTCAGCCCTCTCCCTTCTTTGCTGTCTGATATACGGTGCTATGAAAGAGTCAATACAACTTTCTCATGTCACGTCTCATTCCAAAGCACCATACCAATACCAGTTTCGTCTATCTTAAGTTCGCCCAAAACCTCACTGAGGTTTGCAGCAGTTGACTGATCATGGTCACTGTAAATTTCATTTTCTGTACCCCCCAGGGATTGGGCGTGATCACTGGGAAACAGTTGCGGCTGATAAGAATGGTGCGGCACAGGAACTTGAGATGAACGTATGTCGTAAACATTGGGTTGGTTGGAAGCAGAATGTGCAAATTGTGGAAACATTCCTATGCCTTCATTATAAGGATGAGTGCCGCCAGCTGTACTTTGCCCGCCGTCTCGAAATTGCGGCGCAACAAAAGAAAGCGAAGGTTCTGGTGCGTCGGATGCGCTCAAAGAACCGGCGGGGTTGGCATCGACATTCTCCGCACTCGAATAATCCCCGTCGTGGCCTACTGTAGGAGGGACGCATACTAATTTCAAGCGTGTACATGCCGAGCAAGGCCACGTGTTCGTGGTAGCAGCGTCGCATTTGATCTTTCGCTTCCTGCAGCCATTGCAGGCTCGCATCACTGCGGTATGTCTTAGAACGTAGCTGAAAAGTGGGATAATAAGATGTACCTTTAAGCCTCTTATGCCGGTTATGTTCATCAACGAATACGTAGTCTGTATGATGAGCTTTTAATAAATGCCTTTCAAGGACGGGTCTGCGTGGAGTGGACAAAGTAATCTTATATTTCAGTGGTTGAAAGGAGAGCTTACTTTTTTGGCCTTCCCTTGGTGGGCCTGTCGAGGGTGTGAATGGATAACCTTGCATTTTCGCGTAAAGTCTGCAGTAATGGATATCAGGCAGCCAGAAAACAGGTGCCCGGAAAGTGGCCAATGAACTCAAGGCGTTTGGAAGAATGAATAGAAAAAAGATCCGCAAGGCCCTGCCTTGTCCGGACGGGATCACTGTAATGTAAATCCTGTACCTTTCACTTTTTTTTCTGACTTGGGTTGAACGGTACCAAACTGATGTCGGGGTCAGATGTTGAAACCAAGTGCTATATGTTCCTCTTGCTGAGGAGGCCAACAACGTCAAGAAGATGGGGGAGAAGAAGCAATGTGACCGAGAGATATCGCGAGATCGTGGAGTGCGAATGTCTATCGTTGGGCTCGATAATAAAGTGTCATCTGGCGGCAACAATGTGTATCTTGCAAACTTGCACCCGGGTGTCTTGATAAAGATGCTGATCGTTGCTACTATCAGACGCTTGCGAGAGCAGAGCAACTAGGAATGAATAGGAGCTCCAAGACGGGAAAGCTTGGAGGTGACGATCACTCTAGGAATCTTTCTCATATTAGGAGGTAAAATTGATAACAAGACTTTGGGTGGGGCAAGAAGTGAGACCTACATCTGGGCGAGAAGACGAAGGTGTCGGTAAAGCTGCAGACATAGGTACAAAACATTAGCTATTGTTGACAACCGGGGATGTAGTAAGGCAGAGAAGCAATGACACATTACGCTAGAGAGATCGAGGATAGCGTCAAGTAAGTCATAGCGCTTGAGTCATGTGGGGATGGATTTCAGCATGTGGGCAATTTTCATAGCAGACGAACAAACAGGCATGACGGTGGAAACACATGATAAGACGATTTGGCACCAGGTTTGGGGGGGGGGGGGGGGGGGGGTGTTAATTGGGGTGAGGAAGAAGCCAATGAATGATACCTTATAATCAGGAATAAATAGGTTTCATCCAATCTGCATCATAGTCTAAGAGCACCAGTAATAATCATTCGCTATTGACTTCTGATTATGGGAAATGGACTTTGTCGGCGCATCACATCCCGATTTAAAGGTCACCATCTGGATGAAACAAGTGAAATTCGCAGGCAGGCCGGTGGTGGCTAGGTCCGGACCTGGACGGATGAGAAACTGCAGAAGCAGCAAAAGCTTGAAGGGGGGAGGAAGGGGGTATGTGGAGGGGACACGATAGCGTAGATTGAGAATGATAAGAGCATCAGGGGAGTCAAAAGCCCACCGATACAATCAATGGTTTCCCAAATGGAAACAGAGGATTGATCGTGTGGGGGACTGAGAAATGCGGGAATCTGATCCTGCCTCCTTAGCTAAGTCATCACCATCTTTGCCGCCTCATCCTTCTAAACAGTACCAGGCTGGGTAGTTTGTTGTGCACGGAGATCCGAGTGATCAATCAATGGTTGCAACGAGTGTGCGGAGACCCGACAGCAGAGGTGGGTTAACTAATTCAATTCCCTAAGCAGCAGAAGCGCGCGTGTGGTGCTTTAGGAGGACCTAGTGCTGCGTATTCCGTAGTTGTAAATTTGAGCGCCCAAAGGGGACTGACTATCTACTATACTCCTCTCCATAGCCGCGTCAGTCAAATAGGACCATCTTGTTAGGATAAAATCTCTAAAACCTTTTGTTCTGGTGAACTTGATCTAGATAAATTTTCGCTGCCTATACTACACTAAAATCATGACTATCTTGATTTTTCTATGACCCAGGGTTATCATTATTAGAGTGGCTAACGGTTAAAATACAGGTGAAAAACCAACCTCTTAAAAAGTGTATTTAGATATAAATAAATTGTAAAATACAAGTTTTAAAATTGAATTTAAAAGGATATCTAATACTTATTTATAAATTACACTTTCAATATCATCTAATACAGCTAGGCTGTATTTAATACATGTCTAATTAATTCGATTTTTATAAATAATAACTTATATAATAATATATTAATTTTTCTTTAATTTAAATTTATAAATAAATATAATAAGCTTATTATAAAATAAATCTGTCTGTATAAAAAAGTTAGATTATATAAATAATAAATAAATAATAAAAAAACAGTATCTTTAATCTTATATTCTTTAATTTCAATTATAAGAATAGAGAGAATATAATTAATATATATATATAAAGATATATTTACTAAGAATAATATAAAAAATATTAAATTATTTAAAAAATTAAGTTTAAGAGAGTCTGAAAAGATAAGAAATCTTTATTTATATAAAAAATAAGTTCTTTATATAATAAAACTGATATATAAATTAGAAATCTTTAAAATTATTTATAGATTAGATGAATATAAAAAAAATATTATTATAAGATTTTTATAAAAAAATTTTAAATCTTAAATATTTAATAATATCTATATAATATATTAAACAAAGCAAGAGATAGTATTATATAAGAAGAGATAAAAGAATATAACTTAAATATTCTTATTTTCTTTTTTTTTCTTCTTTATTAATTTCTTCTGTATCAACAGTCAATTATTAGATTAGTATAATTTAATCATTCGCCTAATAATTTATATATATATTTAAAATAATTGTATAATAGTTTTTTTATTAATAAGACAGTCTTTTTTGTAAGTATAACTAAGATTTTAAAAAACTTAAAAATTAATATAAAGTCTATTAAGATAAAATAATTAATTATATTAAAAATAATCTTTAAAAAATCTATATAGAATAGATTAATTTTTCTTATATAATAAAAAGATTATTATATATATATTAGTTATTACTCTTAAGAAAAGATAATCTATAAACTAGTTTAAATCTTATATAATATAAAGAATTCTTTAATAATATTATAATTATTCTAAGAATTAAGTTTATTAAAATTAATTAAATAATTATTTTTATAAATTACAATATTCAGAAAGTTTTTATTAAAGTAGAGTCTAATTCTATTAAAACTATCAGCTAAGTTTTTAAAATAATAAAAATTAAGAACTTTCAAAAATAATATAATTATATTTTTTTTAAATATATCTATTATTATTTATTTTTATAATAATAATATATTTAATATTAATAATCTTATTAATAATAAGACAGTACTTTAAATAGAGATTGTTGGGGGAATGATTAGATTAAGCTAATCTAATGATTGACTCTTAATACAGAAGGAAGTAATAAAGAAAAATAAGAGTATTTAAATTATATTCTTTTATCTCTTCTTATACAGTACTATTTCTTATTTTATTTGATTATTTATTTAATCACATCATACTAAACAAAGTATTTATATAGATATTATTAAGTCTTTAAAATTTAAAGAATTTATGTAAGAATTTTATTAATTTAAAAAGTCTTTTAAATATTTATTATAAATCTAGATATTATAAATTATTTACATTATTTAATTATAATAGTTATACTATTTTATTTATTTAATTTGTTTAGAAATTTATATTTTCTAAAAATTATAATAAAAAGGTTTAAGTAATAATTAGTCTTTTTTAACATTTATAAAAAGCTTTTATAGATTCTACTATTAAAAAATATATATTAAAATTATTTATAAAAAGGTTTTATAGAATTCTCTAGAAATTATTTATAAAAACCTTTTGTAAATAATTCTAGACTTATAGACAGATTTTATAAGATTATTTTATAAAGTTATCTAAGGTTAAGTTATTTAATATAAAAAAAAGAAAAATAATATTATCAATATAAAAAAATATTAAAAAGCAGATAATAAAAATAGTTTTTAAGAGATATAATAAATTTTAAATATTAATAATATTAATTTAAATATTCTAATTGTTATGGGGTTCTTGTATAAACCCTCTAAATCCCAAAGACTTGACAAATCCTGCGTGAATATTCTGTTTAGCATGCTATAATTAAATAAATAATCAAATAAAGCAAGAGTTAGCACTATATAAAATAAATAAAAAAATATATATTAAAAATATTTATTTTTATTTTTTTATTAATTTTTTTTATATTAATAATTAATTATTAGATTAGTTTAATTTAATTATTCTTCTAATATTAGAAATTAATTAATTATTAAGAGATAATCTCTTAAGAATTAAGAATTATTTAATATATAAAAACAGTAGATTTTCTTGACTTAATAATTTATAATAGCTAAGATATTATTCACGAACTTATATAAATAATATATATTTTAATTATTAATAATAAAAATATTAGATAATAAAAGCTCAACATAAATCTGACTAAAGAATTTATAATAATATTTTATATTATTATTTATATTAATTATATTATTTTTTATTTAATATTTAATTATATAATTCTAAGTCTGCTTTTTAAATCTTAAATTCTTTTTTCTATAAAAAGCTTTATATAAAGTTTTTTATTAATAAAAAATATTTTATAAATAAAGTAAAAAAAGTTTATTATATTTATAATTATTTTTATAAAAAAGCTGAATAATATATATTTTTCTGAATTATATTTAAATAAAAAATAAATAAAATTATATAGTAAGATAATTTATTATAATTAATAAATTAATTACTTAAAGATCTAAATATAAAAAAAAAGATTTTTATATAAATTATAATAATAAAATAAAAGAAAAAGAGTCTAGAGAAGTTTTTTAAAAATTTTAATAAAACTTTTTTTATTATTAATAATATTAATTAATTAAATAATAAAAAAAAACTTAAGTATAATACTGCTATCTACTAAAGAATTCTTAAAAATATAATTAGAATAAAAAAAACTAATTTATATAAGAAATATTATAATTAATTATAATATTTAATATATAAATATATTAAAATAAAATTCTTATTATTTAAATCACTTTTTATTTATAATTAAAAAAAGTAATCTAAATAAAATAAATTAAAAAATTATTTTAGCTAAGATTATAACTCTTTATTTAAAAAATTGTAAAAAAAAATCTTTTTTAAAAAGAATATTATTCTATGATAGATCTAAAAAAAAACTTTTTTAAAAAAAATAAAAAGAATTTATTTTAAATATAAAAATTATATATATTTTATATAAAATTATAAAAATAAATTAAGTAAGATAATTATAATAGAATCTATTAAAATCTTAGATAATAAAAAATTAAAAAAAAAATAGATTTTATATAAAATTATATATTAAAAAATATTAATAATAA